ACACAGATATTCAACGAGAGCAAAATAAGTGACAGTAAAATTTGTTTAACTTTAAGACAACTTTTTATATTAAAAATTTAATAAAAAAAAAAAATAATCAATTTTCTTTTAAAAATCTTAAAACCATGAAAATTATCCAAAATCTATTGACTATAAGCTCATATTGTATAATTTACATCAGTTATAAGATGAAACTGGAAATACCAGTTTGTCTCTGATCGTGAATTTTAAATTGAGCGCTATTTGAAATTAAACATCATTTGCTTTCTCTTGATTATGTAAAAAGTGTCGACCCTGTAAAATTGGTATTGAAATAAAATTTCTCGACGTATAACAAATTTGGAACTAAAAATCTTAATTCTTTCTAATATGTTAAAATGAAAAGGCTTTCATCGGCAATACCCACATAATAATACATAAAAATTAGATTTATGTACCTATGAAACGTCGAGGGCTGTTTATATATATATTTTTTTTTTTAAACCAAACGATCATTTCAATTGGAAAAAGAATCTTAAAGTAATCCGTTCGTTCCTTCTTGGCCCGCCGACTGTGTCTGCTTGGGGGGAAAAACAAAAAAAAAAAACAAAACAAAAAAAAAATCTACAACACCGACTTAATAACAATCCCGCATTTTCCACTCGGATCGCGCAGTTGCATATCACGTAGAGAATCCTCTTTGAACAATAAAAAAAAAAAAAAAAAAAAAAAAAGAAAAAAAAAAAAAAAAAAAGAAGAAAAATGCAAAAATAAAGTAAACTTTCATGGGAAAGGAACGCATCATCATCGTCACCAATAATCTCCAACGACATTCTGTCCATCGTAATCGCGAGCTCCTTTACTTGGGCTCGATCTTGATCTTGTCCTTGTGGACGCGCTCGATGTGCCGGGCGACGTGCATCTTCTGTTTCGCCCGGTAAGAGCAGTAGGGACACTGGAACTGGGGCTCCTTGCCGCACTCCCACTTCCGGTGGTTTCTCAAGCTGCTCTTGAGCTTGTAGACGCGGCCGCAGGCCGGGCAGGCGAACGTAAGGCCCTCCTTCGAGTCAGGACTACCGGCCATCGAGGCCTCCTTGTCCGAGCTCACGTTCCCCATGCTGGCCGAGCACCAGACGATCGACGGGACGTACCACGAGTGCCAGGAGGAGGCGTTACGTCGGAAGTCCGCGAGGCTTAGATTTTGCGCTACAACAGAGACAGAGTTGTTTTTGGCGGGTTAGAATGGGATCGATCGTTGCGGGTTGTTTCGAGACGAGGACTTCTTTAATTGTTAATTTATCTTTTATAAGTGGAAAAATATTTATTTTGTTTGTTTGTTTTGTTTATCCTTTTGCCTATCCGAGAGGCGTTTTGTTTTACAAGATATTCGGTTGAGCTCCGAGCATTAGATAGATCACTACCTCCTAACTTTCAATTAAGCACCGAGATCTTGTCGATTAATCGAATTCTCCATAAATTTATCTTTTGCTATAAGGTTCCGATTGATTGGCGCAATAACGAATTTTATGGTGAAGTGCTTCAATACCATTGAAATAAAGTTGAAATGATTTTTATATCTGAACGAGCCTTAGCTTTAATTCTATGTTATTTCATTTTTATTTCAATGTCAAAGGTTACATTTAAACGACAAGTATAATTATAACATTTTCATAATGACATAATGATACGTAAGTGAAGTAGGATTGAAAATGTTAATAAGTTAACAATTTGTTAACGCCGTGGCGCTCAAGCCTAACAAACGGCTTCTATATTATCCGTCGATGATTTGCAAAAAACAATATTTTATCCAATTATGCAAAACATAAATTTTTTGCTCTCATAATATATGTTTAAAGCAGTCCTCAACCGACACACACACACACACACACACACGCGCGCGCACTCACACGCACACACACATTCAATTGTTCCTTTTTCTTTACTGAATTAAACGACAATACTTAGAGGGTAGATTTTTCAATTTTCTAAATAAGCGTTAAAATAAATATAATGCTGATTATTTAATAAAATTTTGAAGGCCAAGATGAAAAGAATAAATAAAGGGGTTTTTTTTTTCTTTTTTTGTTCTTTCGTTCTGTTTGTTTAATGAAGTATAATAGTAGCTGAAGCAAAGGAAAAATTAAAGTCTAATTCAAGATGCATACTTATGTGCTAAGAGTCGAAATAAAATACATAAGAGATACGACAAATTTGTTAGTAAATATTATAAAAAAAAACAAAAACATATTTTATTTATTTTCTCACACAAAATAATATAAAATAAAAATATATACTGTAAATCAAATATTATCAGGCTTCAGCGATTTGATTAATTGTATTTCTTTTATTTGGTGTACATAAACAAAATAAAACTTTCAAATTAATTTCAGGCTGCAATTAATCTAAATTTTACCTTTGCATCCGCTTTTCACCTAAAAAAGAAAAAAAAAGAAATTAGTATCGTCGATTCCACCGAGCCTTATAAATGATATCATTGTTCTTAAAATCTTAAAGAGGCAAT